ACTCAAGTTGCTGCACTTAAAGAGAGACAGAGGTGTGAAGAGATATTTGAAACAATACTGGACAACTCAAATGAGAATACCCTGCTGTGATTTTTTAAAATAATTTTGGATCTGAAAAATTCCTGGTAAGATCTTCAAGGTCATCTCAGCTGACAAAATGTGGCTTTGTAGAATTGAAGTCTGGTTTTCTTCTTCCTCTGCACAGGAATGGACGTTGGAGGTCAGAATGGAAATTTACCATCTCACCATCCACCACTCAAGTGGCAGGAATTATGAAAATCCAGGTAATATGTTTAAATCTTTCACTTTGCTGAGAGACAGATATGTTGTATTGTGGACTATTATATGTGCTGTATGTGATTATTTGTGTGTTTACTTTTACAAATTCAGTACAGTGCACAGTAAGTATTTTGTCACACTCTTGTCACACTTTTACACTATCTCAGTATCAAGTTATTTTTGGTTTTGGTTACATAACTAACCAGTTATATATTTTTCAGTTGTTTTAGGATCTCACACAAACAGCAATAGTTTGGGTGACATTGCTACATGGAGGCCCAAAATCACTTTTGGTACCAGCTGAACTGAGTCTAAACTTTTATCCTTTTAGGTTCATTACTATGAGGATGGAAATGTTCAGCTGGTGAGCCACAAAGAGGTTCAGGAGTCCATGTCAATTTCTGTAAGTATAGCTCCGCGACCTAGAACATAACCTACAGCAGTCATTGATCCCATCTGCGATCGATCAGTATTTCCCATACATTGATTTCTTTGTGGCAGCCTGTATTTTATTTTGGAAGTTCAGTCGCTGCTAACTAGTTAGTCTTGTCCCATCCTGCTCATGTTTCCCTACGTGCCAGATGACTGTTGGTCCTCAGTGTCAGTCAGCTGCCTCTCTAGTGAATCTCTCATCCTGTGGACGAACTCCAACCCCACCATTCTGAACTGCAACTGGTGGCTATAGTCTTTGTTCTGCTCACCAGGAGATCTGCTGCAACCTGAAGGGCCACTACTAAAATGTGCATCAGGTGGAGTACTGGTTCATGACGCCAGTTGTTGGAGTTCGTCTGTGAGAGCAGAGACTCACTGGAGAGGCAGCTGAATATTTTGCTTAGCTTTGTGTGTATCACAAAGCACTTGACAAATAAAATATTTGCAGTGGGGCACTTCATGTACAGTATTTAATAATTCATTTAAAAAAGTGTGTGTTTAAGTTGATTGTACCTCTGTAATGTAGTCCACTGCAGTTATGTTTTTGTATTCTAGCAATGCTGTTAAGACTTAGTGGCAGCTCCGTGGGGATGTGTTTGTTTTTAAATTACTATTTGAACTGCACACTAAAATGTTTTTTTAATGTCGCCTTCTCCCCTCTTCTCTTGGTATTAAAATCGTGTCTTGTCATCTTTCAGAATGAGGCTTCGACTGCAAAGGAGTTTGTTAAGATCATGGAAGCTGCAGAGAATGACTATCAGGTATGTCATCAAATGAAATAGAAACCCTGTGGGCAATATGCTGATTGCAGGGTCTTTGTTGCCGGGAAACTGAACTTTCACTGTAGCTTGTTTTTGTTTGTTTTGTTTTTTTTTAACTTATGTGTACAGAAGGAGGATTCATGAAAACATCTGTTTACAGTCAAGATTCCAGAGCTTACTGAGACATTAAACTTATTTATTGGCAGATTTCTTGATTTCATTGGTGTGACATATTCGGTTGGCTAAAATGTGACATTGTGGGGAGCGTGTATTACTCTCATCACAAGCCTCCAGCACAAGATGTAAAGTTTTAGTTGGGATACTGATGAATTTGGATGTTGTGTAGTAGTATTGAAATCTGCACGTTCACTGTGAAAACACACACACACACAAAAACCTGATTTATATAATATGATGCTTTTTTTTTTGTCTTGGGTATTTCAAAGTACGATTGAATTATCCAAAAATTCTGGACAAAAACAACAAAGCAAGAAGTCTAGTTTCTACCATCCTACCCCTGGCATTTATTGAAGTGAACTTTCACATTCTTTATTTCCCTTCCTGTGTCCAACTTTCTCCATCTTTTGTTTTTAATTCCTTGTAGACGGCCATCAACGAGAATTACCAGACCATGTCGGACACTACCTTCAAAGCCTTACGCCGCCAGCTTCCTGTGACACGCACCAAGATTGACTGGAACAAGATCCTGAGCTACAAGATTGGAAAGGAGATGCAGAATGCTTAAAAACAACAGAGAAGATAACAGACAGAACCCCCCTCCCGTCCCCCCCGTCCCTCATCCCTCATCCCCTCCCAAACAACGTTGCATGACTGGATAGTTGTATCGTCTTTGTACAAAAATTTGAGAAAACAGGGGCAAAGAAAGGTTTGGTCTCACAGTCAGATGTCACATTACACATTGGATGAGTACTTCCCTTGTTTTTATACAGACACTGTTAACTCATCTGTATATTGAATCTATTATGATAAAGGTAATCATATTTGGGAAAATGTAACTTGAAGAAATATTGCAAGACATAGGAAAGAGAGCGAACACTTGTATGCAAAAACACCCTTATAAGATACAGTATCACATGTGCAATATTTATTGTGTCAGTGAGACCACGCCATTTGTTTGACCTAAAAAACGGTTTGAATTTGCAATGATGGTGAAAACAAAATTTTGGGAGAATTTTGTCTGCATTTACAAAAGAGAGCTCAGATATTGTGGCTGAAACAAACGACTCCCTTCACTTCACGGTTAATGTCCCATACGGTCAACAGCTAAAGAAAAAAAAAATAAAGAAAAGTTTTGTGTTCATTGACTGGTATCTCTTGGCACAAGCAGCCACCACTGTCAGCCACTCAATGTTCTTGTTCCCTCATTTTGGTACTTCCCTCACCGTTTGTCCTGTATGTGAGATCTCAAGCTCGCAGCGCTCCTGGCTAAATTGCCTTTTTGACTTGACATCGTCTGAACTCCCACTCAGCGCAGGGAGTTCTGTGACCACTTAACAAGCTTAATTAACAAGTCATCAGTCGCTAAGTAATGTGCATAATGTCCAATTTACAATAAAATCAAAAAGTATCACTTTCTCCTCCAGTGCTTATTTTTATTAAAACAGAACCTGACTGTATTATATAACAAGGCACATTGTAATATATACCTGTATGAAACATCCTGTCTGTCAGTTTGGTGATTTATTTCCATGAGATTAATTGTAATTCAGTCACAATTATGTTGCATTAAATGACAAATTTTCTATTTACTGACTCACTCATAATTTCTGATACTGTTATTGTGACAGAAAGAAAATCAAAGCAGGATATGATAAAGTTCACACCAGGAGTCTTTGTGGTCTTAAACCATCTTACACCTGCGTTACGTGTCAGAGCACTGCTCCACTGCACTTTTGTTTCAAAGAACAGACACAGAACCACAATCTTGAGTGTGCACAACAATCCTTTTAGATATTTTCCTGCTATTCTGCTGCGTGGAGGGCATCAGCAGTGAAACTAAAACATGCCCTTAACGGTGGACACTAAGGATGACTTTACACTTTTCCTCTAGAATAATTTAACACAGTATAACCAACTGCTCAAATTAGTGGCTTGGCATTTGTCACAAAATATTTTTGAATCTGCTTATGTATCCAAACTGCCTATAGTTAGCAAGCACAACATTCTAGTGTACTTTATTGCAAAATTATTTTGTTACAAGCTTATAACAAGTATACAAGCATTTCTTGGTCTGTAACAAGACACAACTGAAAAGTATAATATGTACACAGAGTTTAAATTCTAAAGGCATTTGAAGAATCTGGTAAAATTAAAAAAAAAAAAAAAAAGGACACAAAAGAAGTGTAAGACCAAGAAAATTGTTGAAAACGAATTTTCTTAGTTTCTTCTTTAAGAGACCAGAAGAAGTTTAACAAAAACAAAAACTTGCTCAACATCCGACAGCTTCTTCTGGTTGCCAAATTGTTCCTGCTGCAGTCCAGAGAAGTTTAAACAAGAATGGCCTCTGAGGACGAGCAGCAAGCCATGAAACCACTTTTTGGAAAAAAAACCGGGATGAAAGCCTTAAATATGCAAAAGCTCACAAAGATTGGAGTAAAAAAATTGTTGACAATATGTGAGAAGAGTTTGAGAGACGTGGAAGAAAGAGTTCTGGCAGCCTTTAGTGAAACGTGTTGGAGGGTCTGTCAAGGTTTGGGGATGTTGTCTGAATTGATGAAATCATAATTGCTAAAAAAAAAAAAAATACAGACAGATTATAATTCATCATGCCATTCCCTCTGGAAAGCATTTGACTGGAAACAGGTTTATTTTTCAGACAGTGATCCTACGCACACTACTAATATAGTGAAATCATATTTTGAGAAACAAACAGCTGATAAAACAGTGTCAGTGATGGGCTGACCTCCACACAGTCCAGACCTGAATATTATAGAAGCTGGACCTGGACAGAGAGAAAAATAAAACACAGCCAGAGTGTTGAAAGCTCGGTGTAATATAAGATTACTGAGGAAAACTACAAGATCCAAGATCATTTTAGATATGCAAAGGTGGGTCACAAAATACTGACTTTAGCCCGAAGAAGACTTTCTTTTCAGATTTTCTTTTTGTTCTCAATAGTATGTACATATTCTATTGTATATTCCACTTGTATCTTGACACACAGACTGAGGAATGCTCGTGTATTGTCAGCGCAAAGTTGCTAAAACAACAAAGCTCATTGTATTTTTCGACGCAGGAACGGTTAACTCTATGGGGGATGTTTTAAGTGTATAGAAACCTGGAAAAAAAGCAGAGGGTTATTTATGTATTTTTTATTGCTATATGGCTAAATTAATTTCGAGTGTCAACTTGATGAACTTGCCTTATCTCTTGGGAGAATTAGTGAGAGCGACATCTTGGGGCGGTGGGAGTTAACTGACCAGATTAGCGAGCCGGCGGCTAACTGGTAACTGTTAGCTAACGTTAGCCATCCAGCCCCGTTTGCAGACACGTCTACACACAGTCCGCTGCTGCTGCTGGATACTAGACACATGTTGAAGTGCTGGTAGAAGAAATGCTAGCTACGAATAAGGATTTAACCGGCTTCCCCGCGTACACAAATTGAGGTAACCTCTCACACACATATCGTTTCATTTACTTCCCCAACGCTGCCATTCACTGTGCCTCCGTTTATTTGCTTTTTTAAGTTTTCTGGCTTTGCAAAGGTTAGCCAGCTCATGTTAGCAGTTAGCTAGCAGGGTGAATGGCTAACACTTAGCCAAGTTTAAATGGAAGTCCTCTTGTCTGAAAATGTGCTAACGTTAAATGCACATTAAAGGACCAATAGGACGTTCAGAGCTGCCGTGTAATTAGTTTTCCTTTGCGAGCACCACATGCCAATTCAAAGGAGCAGAGTGTTGTATTGTTTTTACTGCTCTTCATCATGAGTCAGTGCAGGGTGTCTGTTACTCCAGAGTTCACAATGTCTGCTATTTCTTCAAGTTGTGTATTCGCAAAATATTCGTTTTTGTCGCTTTGGGAAACCCCCCATCAATTATAGATGCATTTAAAGCAACGTTAGTGGCTTCAAAAGAAATGTAAGCCCTAACTTAGAGCTCAAGTGTACCACTATTTGTTACCTTTGTGGACCTAAATTGTTTACCTCTGCTGGTCATTCAACGTGGGCTCAATGGTCTAGTTGGCATTATGTGGCTTCTTGCTCTCACAGCAGCCAGTGATGAGTCTCCTGTGACTCTGTGCTGAGCAGCAGATGGAAGAATGTGCTCTTTCAGAAAGCCAGCTGGCTGGAACTAGAGAGGGCAGGAGCGCCTGCAGGCACACATAGGCTGGTTGAGGAGTTTAAGAGTTGTGTGTGTGTGTGTGTGTGTGTTAAAATTGAACAGTCATAACCAAAAGCATGGGCGTTGGAAGTTTATGCGACAGGTTTAATGTGGCATGAAGCATGCTGCTGACTGTCACCTTGTCACTTCTTGAGCAGAAAGGTGTTAATGCTGCTGCTGCCTTCTGAATCAGGTGTCTGACAAGCCCCAGTCCCCCAGATAAGTTTGGAGAAGCGTAAAGATGATTTTTTTTATTAGTTCCTGTTCTTCAAAGTTATTATAGTTGCCCCTGATTACTCTATCGTTGGCAACTATATAGTAATCTGTCCTATCTGTCTTTCTGTCCATCTGTGTGTGTGTGTGTGTCTGTGAATAGTCTCTAGCTCGAGTGCTGAGGTCAAACAAGTTTATGTCTTACAGGTGAGCTAGGAACAGCCTCTCCTCGAAATGATTAGATTTTGTGGTCAATTAGTGCAAAAATGGCTCTGCTACAGGTCAAAGGTCACTTTTTTTCAAAAAATGCAGTATCATGCCTGGCAGGGGCAACTGTATCCCTTGACTGAGGGCCCTTTAGGTAAAAATTCTGAACCCAGAAAAATCTTTGTTCTCGAACCGTAATACTTATCCACTGCCTGCATAAATTAATATGATCATTTTCCATTTCAAAATGAAAAATAGGTATGTATAAGCCCTGGAACAATATTAACATAGCTTCTGTTCTGTGCTTCATCCACAAGATTATGGCTAAAATTTCACTGCTTTGAATTTAGACCTCTTTGCTTGTGGCCTCCTAAAAAACCAGTCTGTGTACACAGTCAGCGAGGGTCTGAGGTTACTTTCTGCTTTGTGGCAAATAAGCATAAAATGACAGATACTTGGTAGATATGTAGCCAAAACTCAGCTTTGATCTCTCAGCACACCAGCACATGTGCTTGTAAGCTTTGAGGAAATAATAACATCTTAATGTTTTGATTAATATAGCCTTTGTTTCAATATTAAAGTTTAAAATAGTACATGTTGAAGTAATTTCTTCGTCTTCAGTTTGTGGTAAGGTTGTTCTGTATCTGTAGTAGTTAGCAAGTTTTAAATAATCTGATGTTCTGTACACATTGGCACTAAAAACAAGCAGATTGTCAAAAGCGTGTGAGGTGTTGTAGCAGATAGTATTTTTCCTTGACACGTCTTTAGCTGGTGTGTCAAAAATGTTGACAACAACACAACATTAGCAGATTTTAATAGGCAAATGAACCTGTTTAGTCCTGTTGATGTGCAAAATATTGCACTTTTTACTTCTGTGTAGATAAGGATGAGCAAATACAGAGATGTACTGAATTATTTGTTTACTGTTGTATTATGCAATCAAAGTTTTTTTTTTTTTTTTTTGCACCTTATTGTGTAATTTAACACCGTGTCACATTTGACTCATGGCACACAGGCAGTCTGACTCTGCTGCAAATATTACTTAGAGCTACTATGCGCCCCAGTTGACCTGATGCTACAGACCTTAAACTGAGAGTGAGGTTATAACTGAAGTTAAAATGCAACAGATAAGAAACTAACATTTAGGAAAAATCTAATACCATAACACCAAATAATAACCAATGACCAAGTGTAGTCCGAAACTGCAACTTATCATACCCACCCTTCTTACAATACATGTTCTGTTTGACATTAACAGATGGCATCTAGCAAGGTCTTGTATTGATAACATATTTTCACTTCCTCTTCCTCATTATCATCAGTGTATACAGCTGACGTTTCTTCTTAGTTCCCATTTCCCATTTACCATCAGAGATTTGATCTTGTGGGATTCCCCCTCAGACCTGTTTATCAGCTTATCGCATCAGCCACTTTTTCTCAGTTGTAGTTTAAATTTAGTTAGTGGTTACTTGCATCTCCTGTAATGACTTTTGGCAACCCCCTAGAGAACAGAGACGGAACCGTCTTGGGAGTGAAGCAGGACTTGATTTTAACCATGTATGGATTCTTGGTAAAAGATGTCTTTTTTCAATTGATTTCTTTACGTGAAGTTGTTGAAGATCCATGCAAAACATTTTTAGCTATGCTAAGAGACGGACTACAAAGCTTTATCTTTTTTTTTTTTTTTTTTTTTAAATGTATCTTTTGCTTGAAATATGTAGTTTTTTTCTCTTCAGTTTAAACTATAGTCCTGACCTTGTGTCTGTGTTTAGCCATTTGGAAGGCAGGAAAAAATTGGACACAGATTATAGAAGGCTAAATATGAAATTCACATTTTATCCATGTGTGGAGTTCAGTGCTTATTTTGGTTGACAGGATAGCTACAGTGTCACCAACTTATGAGCCACAGGGTTAGCTGTCAGACAGCTTGACAGATGATAACCCTTTTGGAAATTTTGACCTGGGATAAACTTGTGTTTGTTGTCAGCCTGACTGAGTCAGTATGCATTTTGTGAACTGGATCTGTCACCAAACTGAGTTTGGTATAAAAGGTAAAACACATTTAGCCTGCTACCTAAAGGAATTACCAGGGGATTCATTTGCTATTCTGATTCACATATCTGCAGGAACGTAGACATCTTTCAACCGTTGTGTGGAGTTGTTTTCCATAAAGTCCTACAGGAATTCCAGATGAAACATACAATGGCTGGACAAACCACTATTAGAGACTGTCTCCACTAACTGCATGTAAAACAGATTTAAGACATTGCCCGTCAGGAGGTATCCTACACACCAAACACTTAGTAAATACACTGTAAACACACTGGTGAGAATAATTTCAGGCAGCAAAGCAGCTGAAAAGTCCCTGTACTTGCACTTGTATCGAACAAATATGGATGATCACTGGCAGCATGTATGCAAGGTGATTTTTCCCTGGAAAAGGGCAGAGAAGTGTAGCTGAGACAGAGAGAACCGAAGGACACAAAGGCCTCTACAGGGAACTGGAGGTGAGTGAACTTTGTACAACAAGCTTAACTTAAGCAAAAGCTGTTAATAAACCAGCACACCATTAGTTTCTGATGTCAGCTGAAAATATTACAACACAACATTGAAAAAACAAAAAACTGGCATCAACCGGAAGAGAAGATTTGGATCATATCAGTTTATCTACTGACTGTTAACCCACACTGACCCAGACTGAAACAGACTCAGTCCAGCTTGGTCTCATCAGATGTTATGACCCAAATCATATTCATGGTCGGTTCAGCAGTTGTTATGTGTACGCCCCGTGTGTGAGAAAAAGGGTGAGAGTCGTGTCCCTTGCTCAAAATGTGGCACATCTTTTGGCTGAACTTCCCTGCAGTGTATTTAGGCTGCTGTTTTTGGCTATGCTGGAATGTATACAGCTTTTTTAAAGAGTTTCTCCCTGGGCATCACTGTTAAATGATGGCTTAAAGACACAGGTTTACTCTTAGATTCTGCACTGGTCAGCACCTCACTGTGTGTCTGTCGCACAGTTAGGAACTGCACCATCATCCACTGTCATCAAACTCATGATGTGCTGATATATATTTGGTTCAACTATGCATCCTGTTTGCTTAAAGTGCAGAGTTTGTATTGCGTAAATGATCATCCATCTAATAAATTGTCACAACCAGCATTTCTGTCTCTTTTCTAAAGTTAGATATTGAACTAAGCTAAGCTTAAAGAAGCTAGTCCCTTTTCACAACTGTATAGATTGCTACACTCAGCAGAAAGCTGCTTGTGGTGCAGTTGCTGAGCTAGATTGGTTCTGAACTCTAGGTTAGGCATCATCATTTTGATGCACAGCCATAAGACTCAAAATGTCAGAGTATAAAAGGCTGAATTACAAACCATTTTATGGTGCCATATCAACGGCCAGAACCCCTTCGTGACCAGTGGAGCAGGGATATAATTGAAGAAATGTTTTGTTATGTTTTTGTGGAAAATGCTGGCTGGCTAATAAACTGTATCTGGGTTCAGACACATTCTGCAGGGCATCCTTCCCAGTCTTCATATTCCCCAGTGAATGAATTCATGCATCAGAAATAAAATCTCTTTGAAGACTGGATTTTTTCTGACAGACTTTTTACTGCAAAAAGGTTCCAACATTGTCAGCTTGGGATGGGCCAATTAAGCCTCTGTACTGAGAACAAGGTCCATAGCTGTGGAAGGAAAGGAAATACTAAAATAAATACGTAAAAGACAGACTTGTTTTATCATGTCAGTGTGGTAAAACAATAAACATCTCCATACATCACACTGACCACTGAGCTAAGAGTCAGTGATTTTGAAAATTAAAGAAACCCTCTGAATTAACTGAGAGATGTGACACAGGCAACCAC